CTTATACATCTCTAAATTTATTTTCTTTCTCTTTGGTTTTTCTTCTATTTTACTATTGATAATCTTCATAGTTTTTTTTTTCACTTCTCCCATAAGTTTATGTATGTTTGTATCGTTATRTTATTCAGGTTGCATTATAGTTTTTATGCATTATGTCATGAAGATTTGAAAAGAAATCTTCAAGTTCAATATTTAATTTTTTGGTTGCAATATAAGGTAAAATATTTATACTGATTTGTTTCATTATTTTGATTGCATTATAATTTTATTTATGTTTGTATCGTGATTTTTGTTTGCATTATAACTCTTATGTATTAGGTAAAGATTTAAAATRTTCAAGTTCACCATATAATTTTTACTTATGCATGTTGAACGTTTTTTAGTTTGCAGGTTTTCGAGTTCTTAACGTTTATATATCAAGTCATGAAAATTTGAACTTTTCAAGTTTGGGTTGTGGGAATTTTTGATTATGATCTAAGGTAAGAATTTTATGCAAGTTTGTTTTGTAATTTAAAATGTATTAGAATGTTATGTATGTTTGTATCATGATTTTGATTTGATTATATTTTTAAGTATGTTCTTATCGTAAGTTTAGTCGTATTATAATTTTATGTATGTTCATGTTATGATTTTGATTGCATTATAAGTTTATCTATTGGGTTATAAAGATTTGAAGTCTTTAAGTTTGGTATGTGATTTTTTACATATCGTATGGTTGGTCTGGTCCATTCACTATTGTGTTTTTAAAGTCAAGGTATGTGTTGAAGATGAAAAATAGTACATGTACATCATCCTTTGAAGGAGACATATTTTTATGTGGAATATTTTTTATTCTTAAAATTGTGTCAGATTCCTTAATATTTCCGTCGTTATTATTACTCATTTTATTTAGTTTTACAATTTTATTACTAAACAAATCTCTCTCTCAATATATATATATATATATATATATATAGATATAGATATTAAAATTTCACTAACTATATTTTATTTAACTTTTTCGAATTATTTGAATATGATTTGTTGATGATTCTATTAACAATTAATATATATTTATATAGACAATCATCAGATTATTAATCAAAGCACTCATACTACCGCGCAACGCGCGGTTCCCATACTAGTTTAAATAATAATAATAATATTAAAATAATGATGTGGCATCGATAATATGACATGACTAATATTTTTTTTATTTAACAACAAAAATTTAACATCATGAAAAAGAGTAATTACATCCTTCCACCTCCTACAATTACGGGTTTTTAAAAATCCGATCAACTCAACCAATGCGAATTAATTTAATCCGAATCAACTCGATATCTAATTGAGTTATAAAATTTTGAAACTGTAGGTATTGAGTTACTATTATTTGAACCCAACTCAACTCGATGATCTCAATATCATTTTATTTTTTGTATTTAATATGATTGTTGAATTTTTATTAATATATACATTAGACAATTACACTATCGCGTACGCTCTTCATATACACATATTTTCAATCTATTCACATTTTTATATAAGCAAATTTAATCATTTTTGAGAAATGATCTAAGCAAATTTAATCATTTTGATTGTAATCAATCAATTTACTCTGATACCCATTGTTGGTTCCCAAATTCTCAAATGATAGATTAGAACTAAAATTATAAAACAATAAATGACAAATAAGAATAATATCACGAGGAGTTCATTGTCATCTGTCTTGATTGAATCAATGAATTACACTTTATAATGAAGGATAAAAGGGATTGATCTTTAAGGTGTTCTTGGGAAAGTGTTTCTTACAATTACAAGGAGATTGAAGATATATTTATAGGAAATAACTAAGGGGTCGTTTACCTAAATGTTTATTCCGTAAGTTTTTATCTTAAGAGTCAACACTATAATTTTTTTATCGGGTAAGATTATAGTACATCAAAATGTATCTTATGCAACAATTTTACCTGGTAAGCGTTTACCCGGGTAAGAGTCGTCACCATCACTTACCGGGTAAGACTCTTCATTCTTATCATCGCTCTTACTGGATAAGATTTTTGCCCCTTGTCATGTTCATCTAGTAAGAAAAATTGCCTAGTAAGTACTT